AACAGAATTATCCACTTTCTAATTATTTACAAAAGCGTCACTCCACAAACTAATTATCTAATCCCAAAATATCGTTTAAGTTTCCATTGTCTATAATGCATCCAGCGATTAGAATGGACTACTAACGATGTTATTCATCTGGGTTTTAGACTCATCCGTAGAGTCTACACGGTCCCAAAACCCCAAAAGAACATTATCATTATCTCCGTCGAGAAAACCTCGAACATTACTTAATAATAAATTGTACACTGGATCTGAAATTTCAGGACCTCAGACAAGAACAACAGATCTTCGTCTCGTGTAGACGGGGCTTCATGGAGCCAGTGGTGGGGGGACGTAAGACTGGTAGAAGGAACAGTACTGCGATATCTCGTTGTTTTTCTTAAACCTTCCCTTGAGCTAGTTTAGATGTTCCCTGATTGGAATACTGTATCATTAAGTAGCCACATAATTGCGGTTAGAAGCCACACGTCATTCTGAAATCATACCAACTGCCTCAGCTGTTGTTGTTCTAAGAGACCACATTATAATGCATAAAGGAGAGATGCAAAGGCTGTTATTATTTATATGATGGAAGAAAGAAATTAGTGGGGGAGAGGGGGGGTTCATTGGACTGATGATGAAATAGGTTCTTTTTTGTTATTTTTGAGAACTTTTTTTATTTTTCAGATTGGTGGTGTGTACTTGTAAGCTGACTGGATCATGCGTGCGTGTTTGTGTTTCTTCTTGGATGTTGCGTGTTTGAAAAGGTTGAACGGAGTGAGGCAAAACTCCCAGCATGATCAGAGAGCTACCGTAGAAAATTCAATTACACCGAGGTTTTGGTGGCGCAAATAGTGGGGGAAATACATTAAAATACTTTTGGTGACACATATAGTAACCTGTACTCGTTATCTTGTAAAATCATTTGTAAGTTATTTAACGAAACTATCAAATTTTCACTGAGAATTGGAAGATGTGACGTTGACTGATGTGGATTAGAACAGATACCGGATGGTTTTGGGAGATATACAAATCATTTCAGCTTTTAAAACGAAAATTTGTCAATCTTCATTCGCAGTCACTCGAACGAAATAAAGCAGACAAATATCACTCTCGACTTATAAATCCAGAGATATATAAAACCAGATCAGTGAACACTGCTGTGTTCCTAAAATAAGACTACTCCATGTACGGGGGGGGGGGCTTTTATAATGAGGTCTATGTAAAAATCTAACTTTCTTCTAAAATTAACAAAAATCCGACTAAAAAGACACGACCTTATAACTATAAAAGAACTTCTTAAAATAGAAATCTTCTTGAGAAACTGATAATTACTGAGGTATTAAAAATATATTAAAATTGGCCGTCAATCACAATATAAGATAATTAAAAGATTAAAATATCATTTTTCGTTCCGTATCGAGTACTCGATTTACATATGGAACATTTACGACATGTTTCGGCTATCATAGAGCCGTCATCAGGTGTTATGTTATAAACTTTTTAACTGAATTACTGATTTTTAATGATTTTTAGTTTTCATTTTTCTTATCATTTTTTATCATTTTCTCGTCCTTCCTTTAAATATATTATAAATTACTGAGGTATTAAAAAAAATCTTCGTCTATTACAGAACCCGGAGGTTCATTACTGTTCAGAAAAGCTAGCCACCAGACAGTATCCTCAGCCAACAGCCACCTCTCATCTCTCATGCGTGCTACATGTTCAGCACCTCCAGTCCTTCTTATCTGACGTATTTCACGAAAGCTTAAGCCACAAAAATATCACACTTAAAATATGACAACAAAACACGTCTAAATCAGCTTACAGAAAAATGTTTTAGGCTCTTAGCCAAATGTCCTTTTATTTGAAATATTTTTACTTAGAGAATACTTAAGTATATGAAACTAAAAAAAAGACTGGTTCAACTCAGTGAAAATTTTCTTGTAGATTTGTAACGTAATTTAAAAAAGGAACATGTGGTCACGATGTTTGTGTAAAATGTAAACTTCACTTGTAGTAATCCTGTTACATTTACACCTGGCTGTAGACAACGCCCAACATAATTACGACTACACTGCGCGGTTCACGGGAGTAAAAAAGCATCTGTGACACATGGGTTGGACAGTGACGGGAGGAAGCTGTGACTGACATCATCCTGGTAATGTCAAGGTCTCGGCTTTATGTAAGAAGCGAATTCGAAAGCAATGTCGATCACGAAATTATCTAAAGGTCCGTAACAACGATTCATCACACAAACACTACGTTATACGGTATCCATGGTGTTAGGTATAACTTATACATACGACGTTTCGGAAGTTGGATTTAATCCCGTCTTCATATAACTGGCTGTCTCTGTACTAACAATATTTCATAATTATATTTAAGATAAATATATGTAATACATTTATTTTTAACAGAAATAAAAACACATGAATTCCATCTAAAACTCTTAAGTACCTTAAAACTCGCAGACCCTTCCAGCTGATGACACGGGTAGAAACGACAGTTTCAATCTAATTAGTGAGATCCATTAGTGACTGAGACGATAGCCATCGACTATTGAACACCCTGTATCTAACCTGATGGCATAACCGCTGGTTTTCTTCAATAATATCTACCGCTACAATCACAGCGGCTTGTGAAACAGCTCGCAACTTAGAAAACTCGTTTGAATCATTGAATTAATGTATCCGATGTTACTGCATGAGACATCAAAACTTTACCATTATAAATATTTACAGCGGTTTCATTGAAGATGGTTTCAATGTACTTATTTTGATTAAAATTAATCCACTTTTTATTGTGAGGTTAATGAGGGAGAAGACAGAATGATTAACAAGCTACTGATTCGGAATTAGCAAGGTAAACTGCATCATCTATTTCGGGACCCGTATCTTAATCCTATCTATTAATCATTTCTGCTCTTAGTAGGATGGTTTATATCTGTTCACAGCTTCAAGATAACAAATTAACCGAATGGAGCAGAGTACGTCTACAGAATCTAGTAGTCGCTGAGTGAAACCTTATCTGCCATGGAACGCCACAGTTCATTATGGTATTCACAAGAGAAACTCTAAGGCTTTTGAACAGGTAGAGTTCAAGTGGTTAGTCTCAGGCTTCTTACCTCTGAGGCCAGGGTTCGCATACAGGTCAGTCTATGTGGGATTTGTGGTGGATAATGTGGCATTGGGACAGTTTTCCTCCGAGTCCATTGGTTTTACACTGTCAATACAATAACACCGCTGCTACAAATTCACGTAAAATCTGCGGATAGTTAAAAGGTCTTTTAGTAAACCACTTCGGCAGAGACATAGTCTCACTTCAATGCAAAGACAAAGAGAAGTCTCCTCAATTAAAATTTTACTCAGCAACTACCCTCAAAAGAGAGGAAGGTGAGTAGTGTGATTGTTTAAAAGGAAGAAGAAAGGTATTAGAGAACAAAATATGATTCTAAAACATAACTTTTTATTATTTTGTTTCTAATTTGTAAATAAAAATCACGTTCATATTTCCATATTGACTTGGCAGTTATAACAGTAATGAAACAGTTACGTGATTGAATAAACTTTTAGACGATAGCATTTATTTTTCTGTTACTATGACAACCAATAAAGTATGCATTGATTTTTACGGTTGGTCTCCCCCGATGCTGCCTTAATCACAGAGCTTTATTAACTGCTACCTTTCTTTGTTATATGAGACACTTAACATATCTGCAGATATGCAATTCAAATTACCATATATATGGTTCAACTTCGAAAGCAAGGCTTGAATATTGGCTGCAGAGACTGTTATATGTGGCAGATTGCGTTTTAAAGAACATAAATTAACAAGCAAGAGCCAATAATTTACAGGTCCAACGCAAATAAAATTTAATAAACCCAGGGCAGAGAAAAGATTTCAGGAAAAGCCCACCAGTAGACCTAGGAATTGGTAGGAGAATTATTTCAACAGGTCTTAAAGAAATGGGCGTAAGCGAGTGGAATGGATTCATCTGGTTCAGAATAACGGTCGGTGGATGCTATTATAAACACGGTAATGGATCTACAGGTACCATAAAAGAGTAAAAGAGAAGGGGTTTATAAGCTAGATGAGCAACTATTAGATTCTGAAGCGTAACGTTGTTCTGTGATACATTGTTAATCAACTGCTTCTCACACTCGGAAGTTTTCACTGTCTGCCACAAGACAATTAGCGATGAACCCTAAGAAGTGTGTCTTTTCCATTTCAATTGTCACACAATATATCCGGAAAAGTTCACACCATTTCCCTTCAAAAACGAACCTGCCAGCACTTTCTTCTGTCGACAAGCAAAAAAACAATAGAAAGAAAGTTACAATTTCAATATGATAATTACTCGTCGTGAAAGAATATATTTTAGTACAGGAATGTGAATTGTGAATTCTTTCTCAACTCATGTCCTTTTGTTATACTCCTAGTAAAGAAATACGCAAGGAATTGTGTGATGTGAATTAGGAAGACGAACACTATGCCATATTTGCCATTGTTCTGTGACGTGTAATCGCTAATGTAAGGTTAGTGTTCTACCCACGCGTTCATCTCTCCGGTCACCCAGCTTAACACTGTGAGTGAAAGTTGTCAATAATTAAAATTATTTGCTTCAATGAAAGTGACACGCACAGAAAAGTTTCGTCATTATGAGCTTGAAAATATGTTGCACAATTTCAGTCTTCAATTACTAGTGTTGATAGTGAAAACGCCACAGAATTCACTGTGAATCCGAAAGTTAAATATAAAGTACACAATGACTACAAACTGGAAAGACAAAAGTTCAATCCAGCTTCCGGATTTCATCTTAAGCCATTCAAAGGCGAAGAACGTCTTGACCACACAACATACATCTGAGCTCGCGAGCTATTTTGAGCAGAAACCTACCATAAACGTTATACCAATCTTATGTTGGACAATGCCCATCAAAACAGCTATCTATACAATCATTCAATCTTTATCAAAAGCATTTAGGATATTAATAATCATTCTGAATATGACCGTAGTTAATTCACACATGTATTCAGCATTTCGTCAATTAATTATTTATTATTGCTTCTGGTAGATAAGGATTTCGATCTGTAATGTTATTTCATGGCAAGGCATAAGCGTGTACATGAAAGTGGGTAAATTATATCAATAATACTATCTCCTATAATTCCATGCAGACTTTTAATCACCCTCGAACTACATGTTTAGCCAATCACACAAAAAATACGGAAAGTAATAACATTTTCAGTGGATATATATCTGAAGAAAAATATCTACTATCATATTCTGATTCAAACATGTCTTTGAGTTCCTGGTTGCTGTGGAATATGAAAATCAACTAATTGAATCGTAAAAATTAAGCGCAGGTCCGATGTTGTACCTCTGGGTAATAACAATTTGTTCTCAGATACCAACATTTCGGAGGAAAATATTACATCCACCCTCAGGGCTAAAGTACAGGAGGGATAATGCGATTGTCGTCCTGTGGATTAACAACATTTCGACTTCCATTCGATGTGTTTAACTGTAAAAACACGTAAGGAGCGGACGCCAGTCAATGGTCAAACAAAATATAACCAATAGGTTACAAGGAAACTCAGCATGGAAGTGGTTAATGAAAGCAAGGGTGTCTTATCTCTTTGTAATGTACAATGGATATAAGAACGAAAATTGAACGTGATTTTCAGTGCTTAACGAAAGCAAGTTTGTGTTTGTTAAGTTAGCAATAGCATCAGGAAGATTTCCATTATCATCTTAACGAAGCAAGTTTGTGTTTATTAAGTTAGGAATAGCATCAGGAAGATTTCCATTATCATAACTGTAGGATTACCGTCCAGGTGAAGAATCCAGCGAAATGAAAGTGTGTTAGCAAGGCAAATAGTTGCCTGGGAAAACGCTGCATTGTTATTCTGACCTTCCCATGACTGCTGTGAGATTACATTCAACATCTGAAACTCTTTCTGTAAAAACTCTTATACGTTCCTCGCTCACTGCTAAGATTCGTGTTCTTTTTAAACAAGTAGCTTTTTCCAAGTCCATTTATAAACTCATTACTATCTCTTGTAAGCTACTTAACACGTCCAAGTGATAATATAATCTTTAAATAAACAATAGGTTTAAATATATTTCAGTCTGTCAATTTAACAGGTTAAACAGCCAATTAATCACACTACTAGCATAAGAACTGTTTTAAACAGCTGAATTCTCCTTTCCACTAGGTTTGTCACTCTATTCGTTTGTTAGTCAGTTAATTATTCGGTCAATGAATGAGTCATTCACTAAATCAGTCGCCACTTAAGAACAACTAAGGATTGAAACCAGACCTATTAGCAAGACAAGCTGATGACAAGCGCAGAGCCAGATTCCGAAACGTCGGAAGAAGAAAACACCCTAATAATATTTGCTGAAAATAC